AGGTTTTACTAACATAGTTTGTGCTGGCAGTTCCACTGTATGTCAGTGTAATTTGGTTGTTTGTCCAAAGTACAAAATCCAGTATAATTAATAATTTTGTAGCCATGTGTGAAAATCTATACTTAAGAGAACGATACAGAGGGTGGTAGATGGGGCTGGGTGATCAATATTGGGGCCCAAGAGTAACATTTTTGCTTTTAGGCATGAAACCATGCGAGGACCCTGCAGCACTAGTAAGCACTGGTGTAAAGGGATGGTTATTATCAGTTAAAAAAAAAGGATCAAATATACTTTATTTATCTGTTCTAAACTTCATTTTTGTAAAGCCATCAGCACTTGTAAAATTAATTTCTTAATTTTATGAAGGTTTTATTTTACATATTTTTAAAATACATATTTTTAAAATACATATTAAAAACATTATAAAAATAGCCTGAGAATGTATGAATGTACATGTCTAATGTAAAATAATATGGAAAATCTGTAACTTTAAATAATCATAAAATTACAGTTTATTTAAAGAAAATTTCTTTTTTCAAATTTTATTTAATAGATTAAACTGGTAAATATAGTTAAGTTTAATAAATTTCTAAAATTAGGTAAAATTTGTGAAATTTTTTTTTTACAATTTGTCTTTACAGTGCATGCAACACAAGACAACACAAGTGCAATTTCAAATGTTTAACATGACAGTTATGAAATATTTAAAGTGCCATCAGTAAGATTAAGTCTACCTAAAAATGTCCATGAATAATAATCATTGTAGATTGAGTGAAAACATTACTAGAAGGGTTATTTTATCTATATTGAATTCATCAAATGGTTCTGGTTTTCCCTTCGTCCATTAATGCAATTAGTGCATTTACAAACAAACGAACAAAGGCAGGATGTAAATATAAGAGAGAGAAAAAATGATTGAACAAATAAAATATTTTAAAAAACTTTTATTTGAAACAAAAAACAACCACGACAACAAAAACAGCACATCCTAAAGCATGAAAAGCAAAGAAGTGCCCCCCAAACAAGTAAAAAATGGTAAGACAAACTCCATATGTTTAATTAATCTAAACAGACTTGATATACAACATAAGTATGCATTGTTATGTATATGTAGAAAGACAGAAAGAAAAAAGGAGGTAAAAGAGAAAAGGGAGTGAAAGCTAAAGACAAAAATAATTTTTGCCCTGTCTTTCCTCTGTTTGCCCCTGCAGCTTTTCTACGGTAGAATTTATCGAGTTTAGTTTGCAGGATTAATCACTTTTGTTTATCGCTGTCAGTTGGTGATGTCTTATTGCAGCAGGCTTTTATTTCTTTCATACTGTGATCATTTGTTACTTCTGTTGAGAGATTTCCCAAAATTAATAGAATATTCTTTCATTTTAAATATCAAGAATTCCCATTTAGAAATATTAGGATGTTAAAGATTCATCAAGCATCACATTAGAGATTATGCTTTTAATACCATTATAGAATGAATGGCATTAAGTGAATTTCAAGCAGCCTTTGTTTCTATAGGAAGCACCAGGGGGTTCAAAGCTCAACTTAATAACAGAGTGATATGTGACATACAGCTGTCAGAAGTTCATCACAAAGGATGAAATTACCCAGAAGTCTGTTCTACATTTTCAGCATTACTTGGTTTGAACCAGGAATATTAAGTATAGAAGCATTGAGGATCTACAAATCTAGTGCTACAAAAATCGGATAGGATGAGCTTGGTAATACATTTTTATGCTGAACCGCCATGTGTCTGCATTGCAGTTTTTGCAAGTTTCACAGGCCTCATGATATGTATAATATTTCAGATATAAACTTTGCAGTTCCCTTTGCCACATGATGTCTTTGAAATGTTTATTTTGTTTAAAAGAACAACATTAACAATGAAAAACACGGAACTGATGATGACTCACATATTCGGTAACATTATTTTTGACTTGGACTTGAAGTTTGGCAGGTCAACAGGTGCTGAGTCGTTTTATATTTGCCCAGTTATTCTGTCTGTTTTGTCAATATAGTAAGTCCAAAGACAGTCCTGTGCGATGTCAAATTTCAGAGGAATAAAATCTACTAAACATCAGAATAAATCTGAATCTGCGTCTTTGGGTCCACATCTTTAATTCAACATGACACTACTAGCTCAAAGATCTCTATTTGTGTGATTTGGTTTCTCTTCATCCGGTCGGTGTGTGTGTGTGTGTGTGTGTGTGTGTGTGTGGGTGTGGGTGTGAGAGAGAGAGAGAGAGAAAGAGAGAGACAGAGATCCCTATATGTATCTGAGAGTTAGAAGCTATCTTAAAAAAGTAAGATCTGAAGTTCAATCGTACAGTCTGTGGGTTGAAGAGAAGCAAACAGACACTGCAATAAAACCCTGACTTTAAAACTTTGGGCAATTTCAGCTAATGGGAGTATGTAAAGCTTACTGCATCATTTTATGAATTAATTGCTGAGAAAAGTGAAGCACCACAATGGCCTGCTTGAACCAAAACCAGTTTGGGGAGTAAAAGTTCTTCATCAAACTTCTTGATCTGCCCAGGAGCAAAAAGCTTCAACACCCAATCGATCAGTCAGACTATTTGTATGGCACTCTTCATACAAAGAAAATGGAACACTGTAAGTGCGTCACAATCTTTGTGTTACAACATGAGGGGGACCTTGGCACTCTCAGACCACAAGTACCATGTAGCTCCAGATGTGAGGGCAAGGAAAAGGCAGTGTTGAGGTTGCTGACCGCAACGCTTTCTTTCAATGTCAGTCGGTGAGTCGCGGCCCCTCGTTTAACGGCCCCATCCAAGCTGGTTTGAGGTCTGGCTAGGAGGACCAGGTGGAGGGACATTTGTGATGGACATTTGTGATGGACATGGGATCATAGATAAGTCTGGGGTCCTGTAGCAGACACCTCTCCAGTAGCTGCTGGCACTGTTACAAAGACATTAGTTTTTGCTAAATTGCTGCCATCTAATCAAATATATTTGTCAATTTCCAATTTTAGGAGTTCCCAATGATGACCAAATAACTTCTGTTTACAGAAATCCTCTCAAAGAGTCTTGATGAAATATCATTTAGGCCTTTAAATTTCATTTAGGAGATAAAATATTTGATCTATATGTAAGTTAGCCTACATTATTTTCTCCTTCAAAGTTTTACTTAAATTCGAGACATTTAAAGACACATTAGGTGGAGATGTTCTTGTTAAAATGGCCTGAAATCCTTTGTCAGGTGACATGTGATCACCATTTAATGGTGTCCACTCAATTTCAATTTAATTGTCTTGATTGGGATGACGTTTTAAATCAAACATGTTGCCAAAGCAGAGGTCTGAAAAAGGTAAGGCTGCTGGGAAGGGGGCTGCTGGTCTTGCTGCCTCTCAGCCTGGGATTTGTGTTACTGTTGTGTTTTTGATCTAGATTCAGTGTTGTTATTGTTTTTGGTACACTTCTGGTCCTCCATATATAAGAAATTGTTTTTTTATGTTAATTGTTGTTAATGTTGACATTATTTATCAAGAAGTTTCACATTTATTATTATTATTATTATTATTTGCATAGGGCTTATGTCAATCATCATCCTTAAGAATGTACCTGTATGACATTCTGTCACAGTGAGCTGGCCTATCTATTTACCCTGAGGGCTTTCAGGTGCACCAGTCCAATTGTACAATTGTTGTGTCACATACCTTCCTTACAGAATATGCAAAGCAGCAGGTTGTTTTTAGAACATTTCTTTATTGCCATTCTCTTGTAGTCCAATGCTCATTGTACGATATTTATCTTACCGTAAACAGTGGAATTCACTATTTGATGGCTCTTCATCTACAGTCTGAATTTAATTGTAACAGTAAAATCCTTGAATTCTTTAACCTTTCTTCCTTTACCATTTCATCTTGACTTTCATCTGGGTTATGTGGTTGGTTAGGGTCAGTGGTGGTGTGTTACTTACCCCATAGGGCTGCCTAAGATTGGGGTGAAACAGCAGGTCCGGGGAGTTGAAGAAAACAACATTGCCTGGGAGAAGAGAACAGGGGCTGGGGACGGGGAGCGAGAGCAATGTAAAGTACTGTGGATGAAA